AAAGTTATTCCACTTTTCAAATCTGGTAGTATTTCTGACCCCACCAATTTCAGACCTATATCAATACTACCAACTCTCAGTAAAATATTTGAAAAAATTATTCTAAATCAGATGTGTGCACATTTTTATAGTAATAACTTAATGTCTCCTAAGCAATTTGGTTTCACTCGGGGTCGCTCTACAACCGATGCTGGTGTCGAGTTGATTAATCATATATTTGATGCATGGGAAGTTTCACATGATGCTATTGGTGTATTCTGTGACCTTTCCAAAGCTTTTGATTGTGTGCACCATGATACACTGGTCAGGAAACTTCGCCATTATGGTGTGGCGGGACATGATCTCGACCTTCTTAAATCGTATTTGCGTGGTAGGGTACAGAGGGTCGATGTTAACGGTACGAGATCGTCAGGATCTGCAATTAGCATGGGTGTCCCTCAAGGTTCAATTCTAGGCCCATTTTTATTTTTAGTTTATATTAATGACTTACCTAGCCTTATGGAGAGTATAAAACATGAGATAGTATTGTTTGCTGATGATACTTCCTTATTATTTAAAGTTAAAAGGCACCAATGTTCCTATGACGATGTGAACAATGCTATATCTAAAGTAATTGATTGGTTTGCTGTTAATAACCTACTTCTTAATGAGAAAAAAACAAATTGTGTGAAATTTACATTACCCAATGTTAGAGAGACAGTTACAAACATTGTAGTTAGAAATGAAAAATTGAATCTTGTGGATACAGTTGTATTTCTAGGTATAACGTTAGATGCTAAATTGCAATGGGGTCCCCATATAAGTAAGTTATCAAAACGGCTCAGCTCTGCAGTGTACGCGATTAAAAAAATAAGGAAACTTTCAGACGTCGAAACCGCTAGATTGGTTTACTTCAGTTACTTTCACAGTCTAATGACATACGGCATTTTGCTTTGGGGTAATGCCGCCGATATCAATAGAATCTTTGTCCTGCAGAAACGTGCAGTTAGGGCAATTTACAATCTGGGCCCCAAAGTATCTTTGAGAGATAAGTTTAAGGAAATTAACATTCTTACACTAGCCTCACAGTACATTTATGAAAATGTAATTTATGTTAAAAGGAATAGTAATTTATTTATGAAAAATAGTAACAGACATAACATTAATACGAGGAATAGAAATAAACTAGCTTTTCTTGATAGTCGTCTTCACAAAGTCAAAAAATCATTTAAGGGGCAATGTATACGCTTCTATAACAAGATTCCGGTTGATATACAAAATTTGCCTTTCTCGAGGTTTAAAACTATAGTGAAACAAAAACTTTATACTAAAGGTTATTATACAACTTCTGCGTACTTGGATGACAAAAATCCGTGGTAGTAACCCGTTTAGCTCATGGAGGTAGTCTCGATCTCTGATGTTTCAAATAAAAAAAAAAAAATATTGTAAATGCTATTTACAAAGAGCAACTCCTAGAGTTTCTTGCTCATTCTTCTCAGGGGAATCTGCCTTACGAATGAGCGGTAGAGTTTAACCATTGTAACGATTTCAAGTGTAATAATGCTTACCTATGAAATAAAGATTATTTTGAGTTTGAGTTTGAACATAATATTCACCACTGCCAGGCGTTTAAAGACCTTCAAGTAAATGACCGCATTAAAAAAGTGCAAGAAAAACAAATGTGTTATTTATGTCTAATGCACGACACGAAGAAAGAATGCGTCAGTCTAAAGTATAAGAAATGCGATATATGTAATAAGGCGCATTCCACACTGTTGCATCGTAATTTTAACGAATATTTACTTGCAAAACCACAGGGACAAACTAGTGCAAACGAAAACATAAAAAATTATTCGAAGTCAAGCTCATCTAAATCTTATGTACCTAAGCCACAACTAAAACAAAATCCAGTGCAAAAATTTACTTCAAATACGACTACGAAAACGCATGGAACACAAAAAACAATACTTCTAGCCACAGCCTTAGTACAGATAACAGCAATCGACGGCACTTTACATTTGTTACGAGTTTTATGCGACCAAGGTTCTGAGGCTTCCTTATGTACAGAGGAAGTAGCGCAACTACTGGGGTACCCCAGGCAAAAGATAGAAGCAGAAATAAAGGGTATTGCAGACGAAAAACCTAAGACTTCCAGACATATGATTGACGTCACACTAAAGCCGAGATTTCCCAGTACTTATAAATTATCGACATCGCTGATCGTATTACCGAAGCTAACCGGTGCACTGCCGAAGCATAATCTACAACAAATAAATAACTTAATTATGGAAAACAAAATGATTGCTGACCCAACATATTACAAACGCGACCCAATTGACATACTTTTAGGTGCCGAAGAATATAGCAAAATATTATTACAAGGGTTTGAAAAATTAGAAAACGGCATTATCGCCCAAAATACAGAATTAGGGTGGATATTGTCTGGATTTCGCTCTACAGAATATTTGAATGGAATGAAAATTATAAGTCTCATGACACGCACCGAAGAAACACAACAACTTACAAAATTTTGGGAACTTGAAGAAGTGACAAGCGAATACCAATTAAAAGAAGAAGACCAAATTTGTGAAAAATATTATACAGACACGACCCAAAGAAATTCCGACGGAACTTATACAGTCAGACTACCATTGAAAGACCCTTCGATAGAGTACGGCAATACGCGTCAAAAAGCCGTCGCCAGACTCATACAATTAGAAAAGAAACTAGACAAAAACCATGACCTACGACAAAAATACAACGAATTTATGAATGAATACTTAGAAATGGGTCATATGACAAAAGTAGTAAAATCAAGTTACTATGAAGGAAAATATTACATTCCGCATCAACCGGTAATACGAGAAGACGCGATAACAACAAAACTTCGTTGTGTATTCGATGCAAGTAGTAAGTCGAGCACAAATATAAGCCTTAACGACAATATGCATAAGGGTCCTCGTTTACAGCAGGATTTAGAGACAATATTATTACGGTGGCGAAAACATAAGTTTGCATTTATGGCGGACATTGAAAAAATGTGCCGTTTCATAAAAATACACAAAGATGACCTCTCCTACCAGAGAATATTATGGAGATGGACCCCAAGACAACCCATAGAAGAATACGAATTGACAACAGTTACATATGGAACTACTGCCGCCCCGTATCTAGCCACAAAAACTCTACAACAACTGGCAAAAGATGAACGACAAAACTACCCCGACGCCAGTAGAGCGACACTACAAGACTTCTATGTTGATGACATCCTATCAGGAAACAATGACCTCGAGAAAACAAAATTGTTACAAAAACAACTACTAGAGATGCTGCGTGCCGGAGGATTTAATTTGAGAAAATGGTCGTCAAATAGCACCGAATTGTTAGAAGACATTCCTGACGAATACACAGACGATAAAATGATCAAACTACCCTTAGATGAAACCAGAAAGTCACTAGGAGTAATTTGGTCACCATATGAAGATAATTTTCAATTTAAAATAAACGTAACGATCAAAGAGAACCCAACAAAAAGATTTATTTTATCTGAAATAGCAAAATTGTTTGACCCCCATGGCTGGCTCCAACCTGTCATTATTACATTGAAATTGTTGATACAAGAGCTCGGGATCAGTGGGATAGGCTGGAATGTCACAGTACCAGAAGAAATAAACAAAAAATGGCTTGAGATTCAAAATCAATTAAAATGCATTGAAAACATTAAAATACCAAGGTGGATTTATTATACCGAAACAGAGGTCGAATTACACGGGTTCAGTGACGCATCAGAAAAAGCATACGGTGCAGTCGTGTACTGCCGTATAAAGGTGAATGGTTCTTATCACGTGACTTTATTGCAAGCTAAAACAAAAGTAGCTCCTGAGAAGCATAAAACGACCTTGCCTCGGCTCGAATTATGTGCAGCTGTTTTATTAACGAACTTAATTAGGAAAGTAAAAACAGCGATCGATTGCGAACAAACAACAATCAATTGTTGGACAGACTCCATGATCACACTCGGATGGATAAGAGGCGAAGCAGACAAATGGCAAACATTTGTTGCAAATAGAGTATCCGAGATACAACGAACGCTACCACAGGCTACTTGGAATCACGTTGCGTCTGCAGATAACCCAGCAGACATCATATCGAGAGGTATAGAGCCCAATAAGTTACAAACATGTGAGTTATGGTGGAACGGACCGAAATGGCTTCATATAAACAATTTTACCATCACTAAAGTAATACCAGAGCCACATGAAGAAATAAAACACTGTCGTCAAACATCTGTTGAAATAAAAAATAATAACGAAGTGTGGGAGAGATTTTCCAGTTTTTCAAAATTAGTAAAAGTTGTTTCTTACTGCTTGAGATTTTTACGACGTCAAAAAACATCGAAGCAACTGACTTGCGAAGAATTAAAGAATACGACAAAACACATTATTAAACAAGTACAAAAAGACGCATTCGCACAAGAATACTGGGTGTTAAAAAAAGGACAGACATTAAAGAAAGGAAGCAAATTATCGACTTTAGACCCGTTTATAGACGAAGATGGACTAATACGAGTTGGTGGAAGACTACAAAATTCACTACTACCGTATGATCAAAAGCACCCTGTATTATTGCCGTATGAGCATCATATTACAACAATAATTATACACGACGCACACCTACAGACTTTACATGGCGGGAATCGACTCACGTTATCATACCTACGACAAAAGTACTGGATATTAAGCGGAAAAAGAAAGATAAAAAGTTACATCAACAAATGTGTAAAGTGCATTAGATACAAAGCGGAGACAGCTAAACAAAAAATGGGAGCATTACCTAAACCACGTGTAACGCAATCATACCCGTTCAGTCATACAGGGTGTGATTTTGCCGGACCAATTCAGGTGCGATCAATGAAAGGTAGAGGTCATAAATCGTACAAAGGATACATAGCTGTTTTTGTTTGTCTTGCCACGAAAGCTATACATTTAGAGCTAGTGGGAGACTTATCGACTGATTCATTTATAGCTGCACTACGAAGATTCATGGCCAGAAGAGGTCACGTGTCTCATATGTACAGCGATAATGCTACAAACTTTGTAGGAGCAGC